TCTCTCTCTCTCTCTGCAGATGTCTCTCTAAAGTTTTTTCTTGCAGCATTGATCTGCTCCTCTGATCTCTCATCATCTGTCCAATCATACAGATTTATTGATTTTCTTTATCATCCCTGGACCTGTTTACTCACAGACCCACAGTCTGAGGGAAAGTGAAGCTAAATGTTTATTTTCAATGTGAGCATCACATCTGAATGTATGTTGACTACATAACAAGGTGTGTTAGATCAACCATTAACGGCCAAAACCAAAAACTGCCTCCAAGAGATGCAACTCTACCACAAAGAGACATAAAGAGACACAAGGAGACATAAAGAGACACAAAGAGATGCTGTGGATGCTGACAGTCTTGAGTTATGAGCTTTAGAGTCACTGCTGATAATAAAACAGTCCGATGTCAGTGGATTCTTCTGATAGGACAGAAGTTAGCTAGCTGTGATTTATATAGGGCCTGAACTGTGATTAAAACCATACATATAGTTGCAGTTTGTGGAGGTGGGTGTGGTTTACAGTCCGCTGCAGGAGAGAGAGATGGTGCTCAGTGAGTAATCACTCTCTCTCTCTTAATGCAACAGTGTGTGAGTTGCCACACACAGACCAGAGAGGGATAGGGGATGAAGAGGGCTAAAGAAGCCTCAGAAATAGCCAGAAAGCTGAGTATTTGTGTTGACGTTGTGTGCGGCGGAGGAAATAATACATTTGTGTTAATTAATTGATCCGTGGTGCTTGATAGGGTGCGGGGTGGACCCATGGTTGCAGAGAGACCTGCTGCACAGTTGAACAGAATGATAATCACACTGTAAACAGTCTAAATGTGAAAATAAAGGACGTCTCTGACAGCAGATCAGCCCTTGTTAGCCTGGACAGCCGTTAGCTTGTCAGCAGCTCTGCACCATCAGACTTCACCCTCCTGCTAATTATCCTGCCACATATCAGACTGCATGTCTAAACTTAGACTCTCTGTCCTCCACCTTCTGCTGTCTGCTGAGGAAGCTGCTGACAGAGCGAGGGTTCAGTTCCCACAGAGATCTGTGAGCGAGCAAGGCACCAACAACACAACAACGACAGTGTTCACATTATTGTGTCCAGATCCACCTACATTTCTTACATGAACATATATACTTTTAAAAGAACGGTGGAGGAGGTCTGACCGAGCAGAGACTCAGATGGATGTTTCAGCCTGAGGAGCTCTGCTGGGAATCGAACCCTCAACCCTGAGACCATGTTAATACATCACTGCAGTGAGAGGTCAGTGGGCTGCCTGGGGGGTGGGGGGCTGAGGAGTAATGTGACCCACATCCAGAAAAAGCCTCAGTGAGCGGGGCGTCCTGCTGAGACAAACCTGGATGTTTGATTTCAGAAGCTGCTTTAATTAATTAATTACAATCTCAAAATCAACACGACGGAATCAAACGTCTCACTTTAGCAGCACTGGATCAATCAATGCATCTTCATTATAACAAGCACATATCCGAACTGACTGATGGACAGACAGAGTAGAAGACAAATGAAAGGACTATCAGGGTTCTGTGCTGGAGTGGGCAGCAGCTCGTGGAGTCAGACCCTGCGTGGTTAATAATCCTCCTGGTTGTTTTCAGGAGGTGTTTTGGTGCATTGCTGCTGCAGCGGTGGTGATGCAGTGAGTCTCACACATTCAGCAGAGAGGCTCTTCAGTCCAGGATGTCGATACAGAAACTCGGGCCGGAAGCCAGAAAGCCACTTTGGGGAACTCGAACCTCCTCAGTGGGGATCTGGAATTAATGTGCAGTTCATTTGGGGAAATATTCTCGTTTTAATCGCAAAGAGCCACAACTTTAAAGTTCTGCTTGATGAAAACACTCTCTGACCTCTGACCTGACCCACAACCTCCGTCTCCAGACCTCCATCACAAACCACAGCGAGCTCTCCCTCCATCCTCTGAATTATGGACGAAATTCATCTTCATCTCTTTGCTCCTTTTGAAGGAGTTTGAAGCTGAATGTGGGATGAGCTTCGTCGTGTGGAGTCTGTGTTTCATGTGAGACGACATTCAACTTTAATGTTTTCATGATCTCAGAGAACTCTTCCTCTCTTCTGTTCAAAGGCACCCCATCCTCATCTTCGTCCTCTGTGCTCTCTGTACCATGAACAGCAGCTAATGCATACCATATCAGCTGGGGGAGGAGGAGAGGAGGGTCTGACTGGTGACTTTGACACTGTGGGGGTTTGTCACCGATAATTACAACTGAAGCGTTTAAACAGAGACGTGCTGAAATCAGCCAAACCTCCTGGACCAGCCGACACCTCCAAACACCCCAGAAACCCCTGACCCTCGAAGCCTGGAAAAATGCCAAAGACATCAATGGAATGTGTAGGGATGTGAGGATTGGTGGGGTAAGAGTTAGGAGCATAAAGATTTACTGATACCAGTCAGAAATCACTACGTGGACCCCTGGATTGAGCTAAATGTACCATGAACCAGACGATTGTCCACTTCTAAAGTCATGAATCTATTGATGAAGCTTTGCTGCTAACAGCGTCTCAGCATCATCTAAAGTTTGGAAGACAAACAAGGACACGCAACATATAGAACAGTGTATCAAACAGAGAGCATTATAAAATGAGCCTTATATTGTTCACAGAGAGGATTGTGGGATTTCTCTGCTGACTGACAGATGGAGTGAAGCCGTTGCTGGCTGCCATATTGTAATGACCCGCAGTCGTCTGGTAGCATTTTCATATTGCTTCATGTTAATGTCGTCCCCTGTTGAACCTCCAACTGTCTGCTGGCAGAAAGCCTGAAATCATTTCTGTGTTTCTGGAATCTGTCCAGACTCAACATTCATCAGTTTCTGCTGCACAGAGACTGAATTCATCTCTTTATTTTCATATTCTTCATTTATTCTGGAGTCCAGTTCAGTTGGACCTTTCAAACCTGAACAGAAAACAGCTTTCAGACTAATTTCAGTCCAGAACTAAAATCAGAATTTTATTTATTGCCAAGTAGGTTTTT